ACATCAGGATACTTCAGTGAAATGGGAATTTACTGTTTTGTGGGCCGACCTTTTCTTACCCCTACTTCCCACACAGAAAGCAGCATATGGGCTGTATTGCCGGTTATCCAAGGAAGCAATTCTTTGCCATCATACCCTTACCCAGTCGGCAGTTCGACTCCACACTCAGACTCCATCAAAGCGTAGCAATACACATTATAACGGTAATTGCTTTTCGTCTCACTGCTACCCGACAGACCTTCCTGGTATTGTAGGACTTCGAAGGAACAAGGGTTACAGTAGCATAGCTCGTTGGGTCATTTTGATACACAAGCCCGACCGCCACTTCAAGGTGGCAGCTGTCAGTCAGGGTTGGTGGTATCTGTACAACTTTAGTCAGTTTTGTCTTCATATGGTATTAACATGACCCTTATTGTGAAAGGAATATCTTGACACTATAATGTCTGTGCATCACCAATGTTGTTCTTGATCCGACGGTGCGGCTGATGTCACTGATAGCAAATCCACTTGCAGTTGCCTCTTTGTTCCTATGGATAACGGCTTGTGGGAACCACTAGAACACTGGTTCTGTCTAATATTATTGCCCTAGTTTTCTATTTTTGAACGGATCATACTGTCATTAACGCTACTTAATCTGACTCAGACTGAAGACAAATGTGCTTTGATAGCCCACTAAGGATGATGTTTATTTTAGGCTAGTCTTCATCACAGACTAATATCAGTTATAGAACTTTTGAAAGTCTAAAAGCAGTAGCTAGCTGTTTAACTTAAACATGGAACTTCTCAGCAGTGCGCACCCCTGACCCCTTCAGGGATCGGTCCTAAGACCTACAGGTCTTGCGGCGAGCACGTTATCTTTCAGGCGCTGCATCATGGTCAGCTGTTTCCCAGTATTCTACTTGTGTTAACTCGTGAGATAGCGTGACTATCATCCAAAGTTATTGGTTGACATTGGCATCACCTCTGATTTCATTGACATCACAGGTTACAGTTTCTCTATGGAATATCGGGATGAACATCTCATGGTGGAAATTACCCTAAAATGAATAAATCCTATAACCCTCAAACCAGATAATGTATTTGACAGATTACACGGAAAATATACAAGGCTGAGAAAAAATAAGTGGACAAAATGGTTCTTGCTGTCTCATTCATTTCGTCTAGGGACATGACAAGAATTTTCAAAATGTAATATATAGACACAGGTTATCTAAGAAATATCATGTATTCGCGCAACACGTACATCTAGCGACACACTTACTTCTCAAGGCATTTCGTATGAAAGATGAAAATAGATTATGTGAGGTAAATAAGTTAGGATAATACAATATTAGGAAAATTGAAGGATACTAAGGAGGAATAATGCATTTTCACACATCTCATGAAATTAAAATTAGGCAAAAATTTCTAAGGTAGTTATATTGATTTTGGCGACTAACAGCGGAATCCAGGACGCTGGTTTCGTTTCATTTTGGACTCGTCAGCCGAATGTACATGCACCCCAGTGATGTTGTTTCCATGGGGACTCGAACCCAGTAGCCATCGCCCCAAACGCTAGAGCGTTATCCATTGAGCCATTGAAGTATGATACCCACCTCTTGTGCAGTTACCTAAGTAGGTTTAAGCTTAGGACAAATTGTTTTTAAATACGCAAAGGGGGTTGGACTATCGTATAGCTAAGGCTTTTATGAACCTGCGTATACAGCCCTTACAGCTCCTGTGTTATGGTCTAGAGGCTGTTTTGGAGTCACTTCTGTGGCCTGTTTCTACAAGGTGTTTACCTCTAGAGCAGGATTTCTTACGTGGGATGCGTTTGGATCACCGGTGTCTGTTATTTAATGTTATCCGTAGAGTAGTATAAATATTTTTCTTAGACCTATCGACAACCATTTTTGCAACTTGTACGATATTTGTGCCATTTAGTGGAAGTTTAAAGCACCAATTAATGCTGTAAGTACTCCCCAGCGTGTGAAGGACTGTTAAATTTAATAGCCTACGATTTCACAGATTTCATATTTTCTATCAATTATCCCAACCTGTATATTGACCGTTGGCGATCGAGCGTTTGTGACCAATGTGAAAAACATACCAGGCTGACATCAGGCGCGGCCACAATCTTGTGCATTTGTTGGTCCTATGATGTATAGAACATACTGTAAGAGGATGTGATCATACGCTTCTGACAACCTGATATCCACCATCATCGATTGAGCAATGCTGAGGTCAGGGAAGATAGGCAAGCCGATTGATGAGGTTCTGAATCTTCGTCGACTGAGGCGGCTTTAAGACCTGCTGTGTAGTATGCTGAGCCACCACCTACCCTCACGTGCCATGGTACGGGGAGCTGGATTAGATTGGAAGAGTCCAGGGTGGCGAGACCAAGACCTAGCACCAGTCGATGAAGTCTCTGAGTGTTGATCGGAGCCACCTTGTAGACTATCTACATAGTTTCCGAGACGATAGGAACTAGTGGTTGAGAACTCTTGGTGACATGGCTGGAAATCAGTCGCAGTGGCGCAGACGTATTCATTCTTTGACGTCTTCTAAGGCATAAATATATGCACTAGCCTTAATCTTCAAATTGTTTATTCTCTCACATAACTTTGTCTACTTTGATATAAGTCTCTTTCTATCCACCTGTTCTTTGTATATTACTGTGAAGTCTAGCAACTTGAACCGATGCACTTGTTTGCGAGGTTCTACATTGGTTTTGTCTGTCTGTATTTGTCCATCTAATATCTTAACTACATTGTGCAAAAGCTAAGTATCACAGCGTTTGCTCGATTTCTTATACCTCATGAGATACTGTACCAACATCAAAGCCAGTTGACTAGGTTATGAAGTTTCATCGTTTGAGGTGGTTGAGGCATATATGGTGCCTACCCATCTATGGCTTACGACGACGTATTTTTACCTGAAATAGGATTTGTTCAGAAGCTGTTTATGCGTTGTCAGACATACGCAGTTTCAGTTTATGAAGTCCGTATGAGATCCTTAGGGAGCTTTAGTTTTTCTGATTAGATTTGTGAAATTACCGAAGTAGACTATTGGAGATTTTAGGTTATATGGTTCGAAATCGATCCCAGTGCTTCTCAACTCATCCTCATCATATCCTTAAATCTCATTTTCCTATTCTCTTATTACTTTTGGAGTGCTCTTTTTCGGCTTGTTAGCTTCCTCCCTTATGTGTTGATACGAAATGTGACAAGTTGAACCAGTACTCAGTTTTACTGGTCCCTACATTGCTTACTCTTTATTTGGAAACGATGAAAATATCTAACGTTATATTGGTAGTGATAAGCTTGGCTGATCACCGTGAGTTTTCACGTTACTATGAAAGCGTGCCTAGAGCACCACCACCAATGTGGTGTACTCACTCATCGCTTTCACAAGAAGTTATCACTGTATTGTAATGTGTCTCTGACGCAAATCGCAGGTGGCATTTCCTAATTGCAGTACTTGGCAGTGTCGGCATAAGTGGTCAAAAGAAATAACTTTCCTGAAGCTTGCAGATACAATTCAACGGACGAGTTCTAACAAGTGCGATAGATCGATGTAAATGTGTAGTTGAGGAAATACTGATTTTGTACTGTAATATCGACATATTTATTGACGGATATTGTTTCCCCTTTTGCTAGATTCCTAATGACTTAACACTGCTGATTTTAAGGATTTATTTATTGTTTAGTAATTCAGTTTACTGTTGCCAAGTTTCCCTTGTAAGTGTACTTTAGTATCCCATTAAATAATTGTTAGTGCTCCTTTTGATATTTTTAATATGTTTGATGTCTATGCTGATGTAGAAATTCATTATCGAGTAAATAAATGAAGTTCATAGTTTTTGTCAACTTCGAACCTGGAATAACTGCATGATAGTCCAATTTACCACATTTCATATCAAATACAGGACAAAATGCAAAGAAGTAGAAAAATAAACCAAAATTGTTCAAAGAGCTATAAAATAAAAAAGGGTTGTAGAGAATGACGAAACCTAATATTATGGCTAAGACGAAAATACGGTGTGTGGGCCTTTTACACTACTCGGGTCAACTATGAATTCCACTTGTCGCGCAGAGCCTAACTAGAAAGTTTACATCTCCCTGCAAAGCTCAGAAAAACAGGAACTTTACAGACCGATGCCGCATCTTGGTCTGGTCGCCTCTTGCATTTTAAAAACCCAACCCTATGTGAAGGTATCCTGGCCAACAGTGAACTGGATGGTTTGAATATAATGTAGCGTATCAGCTTAGATCGGATTGTGGATGTGTATCATTCCTTGAACACTTCAATCCATAACTGGTTTCCAATCTAATAATAATAATAATAATAATAATAATAATAATAATAATAATAATAATCGCTTTTTTCAGACAATATGTTTTATGCAGTATGTAATTCTCAGCGAGTTCACTACCAGAACGACATATTCAAACGAAGTGATTACTGCATCCGAGTGATGTTAATAATAGTACTATTAAAGGTAATACTTTTAGATTAGCTTCTGACCTAAAATGGAGGGTGTACAGAAAATTGGACTCAAGTTTGGTGGTGACGGTTCATTAAGCCGTTCGAGCTTAGCGTCCGAGCAGGGGAAATGGGATGAATTTTTGCGCATCAAAAAGTTCACTTTCACCGAACCTGAATTTTTTTTCATCGTTTTGTTATCTAATCGAGAAATGGCTAGCTGAAAGCATTTTAAAACTGTGCAAGAGTACATGGCACGTTTAGAAGACATAATTAAATGATTAAAATATGTTGAAAGCAAAGATTTTGAAGTAATATGTTCGGTGTAAAATTTTGGTAACCCCAAGGCTGAAGCAGACCGGCGTTAATTGGACTACGTCTTTTACCAAAAGCTTTACACATAACCGTTACATTGTTTTGGTACTCAGTATTACTATTGTATGTAACTGCTTTATGACTTGCTAAATTGTAGCTAATAATATTTTATTAGTGGATTTAATCATTACATTTAATCTCTTGTTATATGCTTATTTCAGTTATGGTTCAAAACCCACATTTTGCTTCCTGGACACAACTTTCCGCTCAAACAGCTGGAAATGCAGCTGCGGCGGCTGCCGCGGCAGCTGCAGCAGTACACCCAAGGGCAGCTTCATTTCAATTTCCTAACGCTAGTTCAATTCAGCAACATGTTCAAACATCTGATTCATCATTACCGGTGACCACTCGTGGTGTCAGTGTAGAAAATTCAGCTACAGTCACAAGTACGAACAATAACTTCCCTGCTTGTTTACAAAATTCGGTATCTTTGACTTTGCAACATTCAGTTCCTTCACAAACTCATACACAATCTCCACAACAGAGTCAACAGTTACACCAACATCAGATGCAGTTGCAGCAACAACAACAACAGCATCAATTACAGTTGCAACAACAGATTCAATTGCAGCAGCAACAGTTTAAGCAACAACAGCAACACTCTCTGCAACAGCAAGCTAGACTTCCAACTCCTCATTCCCAACTACAGCAACAGTTACATCAACATTTGCAACAACGTCAGCCTGGGGTTGCAAAACCACAGCCACAACAAACAAGTCAGTCTCCAACCAACACGATGACTCAACCATTGTCAGTTATTCCAAGTACTGCTGGCTTTATTACACAAAATCCGGTGACAACTCAAACGACTGTAGCACTTTCCAACCAACCACCTTTAGGGACTTCCATTTATAATATGACTAGTTTTCCATCATTCACAACCGTTAATGCCCCAGTGAAACAAAAACGGAAGTCTAAAACCACCACGAAAAAGCCTCAAGTTGAAATTGGACCTAATACTGTTGTTTCCGATTCCACAATTTCGACTTGTGGTACAGTAAGTACAGTGTGTCCTACTTCTCCAAGCCCATCATTTAGTTTAATTCCAACGAATGGTAGTCTGTCATCAGCATTAACTACCGCTCAAAATAATTCTGTATCCTCTAATCCAGTTGTTTCGGTCAATGAATCTTGTGTCTCGCCCTTGTCGACTGTACTTTTTCCATTACCAACACTTCCAGAAGAAATATTACTGAAAATTGATCCTTCTTTAGGTGATCCCCCACCTCCGCCACATGCAGATATAACTATTACAAAACCATATCAATGTGATCAGTGCTTCAAAAGATATTCTGGTATGAAATCCTTAAAAAATCATAAACTCACTCATTCTGATATTCGACCTCATAAGTGTTCTATATGTGGTAAAGCATTTTTGAGAGCTGATAAAATGCGTCTTCATGAAATTTCTCATTTAAATGTCAAGCCATTTGAATGTACTACTTGTAAGCAACGCTTTACTCGTTCTGATAAGTTAAAAATTCATCATCGCACTCATACAGGTGTTCGTCCGTATGCATGCACTTTTTGTCCTAAACGCTTTACAAGATCAGATAAACTCAAAATCCATGAACGTATACATACTAAAGTCAAACCGTATGAATGTTGTCACTGTGGAAAATGCTTCGCTCGGTCAGATAAACGGAGATTACACGAGAAAACTCATATGTACGGACCTCGACCTCGTGCTACTGGCGGGAAGAAATCTAAAACTACGAGTGCCGCTGCCGCGGCTGCAGCCGCAGCTGCCGCAGTAGTTGCCGCTGCATCAGCGGCATCTTTTTTAACTGTCAATTCTATTGGGAAAACTCTTGGTCTGCCACTGGCTGTTGCTACACCATCAACTAGTGTGAATAATCCATCATCTAATGTATTTGATTTTGCTTCCACGAGTAGTGTTTGTACAACTGGTCAGAATAGTATGTGCTTCCCATCTTATCATTCTGTTAGTTCAGCTTCATCTATTGGGAATGATAAAGCCAACGATACTCAACAGATCCCTGCATCTTTGTCTACAATTTCTTTCCCATTACCAACCTGCCAGCAGTTGCATTTGCCATCACAACATCATTCCACTTTAGCATCACTAGCAGGAATTGCTCAGTATCATCCAGCTCTGTTTTCCGCTAATCCACGCCAATTTTCTCAAACTGCCATGGTAGGTAATTCTGTTTCTTTTTATCCTACAAATCAAAACTCTTCTGTGGGATTTAGTACAGCTAACTCAACATCTTATCCTCATGCACAGGTAATGCCGTTCCTAGTCAATTCTACAAACACAGCGGCATCACCGGCTATCTCTTTTCTGGGATCTAATACAGTTTCTGACAGTAGCAATAATGCCTGCTCAGTTGCTAACAGTTCTAATGTGTATCAGAGTCCGTCTTCAACGCGGAAAATAGGAGGTGCAGTTGCTTCATTTCCAGTTGGTACTTCTGGTATAACACAACGAGGAGAAATCTCTTCAGTTGTTGATACTGTCTCTGGAAATCCAATATCGACTTCAGTATCAAATACTAATATTGCTGCTGTAATGGCGGCTGCAGCGCTTGGTCGTCAATTTCATCAGAATCAACAACAGCAGTATCCACAAGTTGTTGCTTATTCAGGCTCTCAACATGTCCCTAATGTTTCTGCTTTTATTCATCAGCATCGTCAACAGCAGCAAACTCAGGAGAGTCAGCAGTCACAAGAAGCCACACAACAACAAAGTCAACAACAAGCACACTTTATTCATCATCAAACACAACAGTCTAAACAAGTTTCACAACAGCATCCATCTCAACAGAATCAGCAGCAACAACCTAGATCTCAATTTCAATTCTATCAACCTCAGTTCGCCCATCAGTTTCAACAGCAAACTGCACAGCTTCAACAAGATCATCAAAATCAAATGTTGCAGCATCAACAGCAAGTTATCCAACTGCATCAACAATTGCAACAACAGCATCAGCAACAAGCTCAACAGCAACAGCAACAGGCTCAGCAGCAGCAGCTTATGCAGCAACATTCCGCTATGCTTCAACAGCAGGGTCTTATTTCACCGGCACACTCTGGTACGTCTGTAGCTGCATTCAGTTTATTCCCTCAAGCCGCTGCACAATTTATACCTGGTGTAGTACCAGCCCAGTATGCTGCTGCAGCAGCGGCACATTCAACGCACCAACAGTACATGCAAGTGCAACAACAGCAACAATATCTGGCGGCTGCAGCAGCAGCAGCAGCTGCCTCCTCGGGACCAATTCATTCACTAAAGCTTGCAGCATCTCATCAACCGAACACAACAACAACAACGCCTACTTCTACTACTAACTCTGTTATCGCTTAAAAATTTTATTTAGGTTAGACAAGCTTCCTATATATATATGTATGTTATACATAAGTAACTGACATTTTTTTCCCGTCAGGAAGTAATTTTGGCATTGGATGATTTCCTTATCACTTACCGATCTTGTCATCATCCCTAGTTGTTGTTTTTTTCTTTCTTTAGAAATCTGAAATCTATTCGCATTTACCCTTTCTCACTTGTGATGTTGATGATGATGTTTGCCCAACTGTTTCCAGTCTCATACAATGTGTCATGTTCATGTTTTATGTGTATACCTTTAATTTGCTCACTTATTAATTGACAATCAGTTAGCTTATTGTATATATTATTACTTCTTAAAGGTTCGCATCACTATCCTTTCCAATATGCATTTCAACATCGGCCTTTCTTTTTTGCTTTTCTTCTAAGATGGAGGTTCCATTTAGAGGTTTGTTTATATATTTCCGTATATGTTACAATCATATTATTGTTATTATTATTGGTGTTATTATTCGTACTATGTAATGTGCTGGACTACGTAACCAACTCCACTTATTATTATTATTTATGTAGATAGAAAGGTCCAGTACATTGCTTGCTGTACAGCATACTTGACTTCCTTTCTCCGTCTTGTTTATTGTTGTCATTTTTTGTCGTTTGCTAACACGCTGGCATACAACGATATAAAGGAAGACATGTATAGGATTCGATCTTGAGTTCGGCTGTTCCTCTTCCTATTCATCCTCCTTATCTTCGGTGTGCTATGCTTTTATTGTACTATTGCCACTAATATTTTGCTATGCTTCTGTTTACTCTTGCTTTTTGTTTTGTCTATCGCCATCGTCATTCATCTATTAGCAGCGCTGAATGGCTGAACTTCACGATGTTCATTCACCTTTCTTTTGTTTCCCACCACCTTTTTATGTAATCAACATGTGTAGTTAGTTTTCTGCTTATATTTTCGTCTAATATATTTTTTCTTTTTGTTTCAGTTGAATGGAATGCGTTTATTTTACCAAATGCAGTTATATTTGTAGTGAAATGCTTTCTTTTCATTGTATGACAGTTCGTTTTCTTTTTGTTCAATCTATTTCTCTGGAGTCAGTAGATTCCATTCTTGTTGTATATTGTTTTTCCCCCAGTGCAATTTAAGCTTACTGCCAAAGCTACTACTTCATTATGCATGTGTATGTATGCACACTCAGGCGAGCAGGGGGGGGTGCTGTGACTTATTTTAGTCAAAGTATTCCATTTGTGAAAGAGAATGAGGTAGAGTAGGAGTAAGGCGCCTAAGGCTGTTATTTTTGTTTTGATTTTGTTACAGCAAACATTTGATGTCGTTGTATTCGTCTCAATGTATTCATTTATTCATCCAACCTACCTCTAGAGAAAATAGTATGTCTCTTTTTTCCTATTTGGAAGCTTTCCTCCAGTGTATAACTCATTATTTACAGTGTGTTGAGCATTTTTCATTGTTGATTTTTCTCCTAGCTTTTTTAGGGACGGTGGGCTCCAAACACACTGTAGGCACCTTAGTAGCTTTATCATCATACCGGTATGTTATGATATTTTTTTCTCCCGTCTCCTTTGAAATTGTTGCTTTTATAATTCTTACAGTGATCACAAACCTCTTTTTCACCACCACCATACTCATGTATGTGTGTATACCTGCCCATCATCATATCTGTATCTGTGGCTCAGTGCATTTTTTTCATCATGCCTACTTATTACTGATGATTTTTTGAAAACACACCAATGTGTTTCTTAAACACTTGGAAGTTGTTCTATGCTTTCCGTTTTCTCCTCTTCCGCGCATAGTACAACACGAAGCTCCGAAATAAAATACACATTTAGTTTGTGTAATATAGAACAGACCAGTTAACATCATGTAGATATTTTATTCCTTTTCTTTCTTATGTTACCTAACTTATATTTATCTCCCAGTAACGCAAACAAAGTCATACACTATTGTTTTAATTTCATCTACATAAAGAAAGGTGTTACCTTTTCCTACTATGTATTTGTATAGGTCTCTTTTTATTTGTATATCTGCTTGCGTGACTCAGTGGGTATGTTGACTGGATCATGTTTTTTATACATGTTCTCCGATTGTCAATAAACGTTTTGAGCATTGTAGGGTACTAAATTATTGTATAAAAAAATATCCTTCAATCTTACCATACAATTGCTGCAATACATGACTTCTGTTTTCCTGAGCATTTTTCTTAGTAATGACTATGGTGTTCTTTGGTGTTTATGTATAAGTACAGCATGGATATATATATATATATATATATATATATATATATATATATATATATATATTATACCAATGGTAAGAGCATTCTGAAGGTGTGGATAGTAAGTTTTCGTGTGGCTTACACGAAGATAAAGTTGACTATCTTTCGAGTCATGCATGAAATGTACAGCTTACCGACATGGCAGTGTTGAGTTTCATTAGATCTATGAAATGAACTGTTAGAATTCATCAGACTGCGAAAGTGACGTCAACTGGGCATGCACATAAGACGTAAGTTCGTCCCAGATGGTGGTACTACAGAGGTTAGAACCAGTGAAGTTGCTTGTTTTGGCACATGATGTAAGCATGGAGAATGTACATCTGCAATCGGTTTCAGATTTTCAAGAGACCACGTGTTGGTTCATAAATTCAACCTATTAACATCATCTTTAGTGCAGGCGATAATTTGTGTTAGTAGGAGGGTTTGTGTAAGTGTGATAATATAATCTAGGGATTACATAAGGTTTGACGCTAATTCCAAGAAATGTGCATACTTTTTGATGTAACTGAAATAATTTGGGTTTAGAATTTGAGTAGTAGCTGTTTCTGTACTTCGTGGAGTGGAGCTGTGACTCATTTGCTTAGGGGATTGACTTTCAACCAATGGTTCGTGGGCTCGAACACTGCTCCACCCACCTAAGTTTAGGCAGCTAGGTAATGTCATAAGCACTCACAATAGGTGTGGCTTGTTGCCTATTGCACCAATGTGCACAAGGTAGTTGAGTGGATTTCTGTTTCAGTTTCTGCTGTCTTCAACTGGATACTTGGTTAACACTTTAAGGTGTACTGCTGTTGGTGTATGTTTTTAAATTTGTAGTTAGTTCACTGTACCATGTCAAATCAAATGCGTGAACGCTACGCCTTTCAAGATGGAAATCATAACTAGATAATATCCAATCACGAATTTCCAGCGTGGAAACCAAAATATTTACATAACAATATATTGTTTGCTTTACATCTTAAATGGTGTGGAGATTGTGAGCGTGAATCTATGCTATATGTCATATTATCTGATATGATATGATGTCCTCCATGCACACTAACTAGTCAGATCAAAGTAATCCAAACTCCGGATAGACTTTCCATGGCAAGCTTGCTGGGTGTACAAGCTAAATCAATCGACATATATCACTTCTGAGCTCAGGGCTGAATTAGAAAAATGAACATCAGTTAAAATGTTTCTTATTGGGGAAGCGAATGGTATTTGTGGTCTATATCCACTCATGTTAGGGTTAGGGGAGAGTCTAATCCATATCTCAAGAGGTTCACTTATCATTTGCCAACTTGCATCATCTGTGGCCCTGACTGGCGAGATATCCGACTACCTATTACAGGGCGAGTATACCGTTCTGTTCTGTTATATAGCCGTAAGACTTGGTTATTAAAAGTAGAAGACATGAAGCGGTTACAGGATTTTGATCGTAGGTGTCTTCGTAGCATTGTTACCGTGTAGTGGAATCATCGTGTGAGCAATGTTGAAGTCAGGCGAAGGGTACTGAGAAAGTCGATTGACGAGATTGCAAACGTCCACTGACTGAGTTGTCTTGGGAATGTGTTACGCACACCCAGCCACCGCCTACCTCGACCTATCATTCTAGGGCAGGTGAGAAGAGGGTTCAGGCTGGCAAGACAAGGAGTCCCCGACTGTTGGTCTGAGTTGTTTTGGGTTGGTGTAGACTCCTTGACGTCCCGACATATCTTTCTTCACATCGTTGAAAGCCTTAGGAAAATAGAAAGCACTGGAGGATTTTTCTTTAGAAGTTTGACATGAATAAACTAGTGGTTGTTCACCTGTATTGACATGAATTCTGTGTATCAAGGAAATCGTAAAAAGATAAATTCAGTTTTGATTACGTCAGAGGATTCGGTGGAAATAGATGTGCAAGCAGTAACATACCAGCTGTATATCGTGGCGAAAGGCTGTTAAGTCAGTCACTTGTGGTAAAATTCAAACAGCTCACTTCCATTAGGGTAACACTAATCATGTTACCAGTTTGACAACGTTAAACCGTCGTGCTTACAAGCCCACCGTTCTGCAAGTCCGCCTGAATTACATTTTTTGCAGCTAACACTTCCTTTCAGTTCATTGGTTTCAGTTAGTAATTATTGTGCTTCATGGCTAGAACTTGTATATCAGTGATTCGTAAAAAACAACAATCTGACTGATAAATCGTTTTCTTACATTAAATTCACATTCTGGTGTAAAAGGTGAATGCTACTAGGGACTTAACACACCGTATGGGGTAACTTGTTAGGTATATTTTCTTTCTTATAAGGCATGTAATATTGTACGCCATTCGAAACAAGATTTATATATTTAGTTTCCTTGGCAAATTTGAATAATGCAAGAACAAAGACATATGCAGAATGAAATGAGCTCATTTAATTTCACGGCTTTTCATCAGCTTGAAACAGCCTGCAGTTGAAATGAAGTATCAGTAGTAATAATAATGACATAAAATATTTTAAACACGCAGAAATAAGTGGAGATTTGAAATCTGGGATTAACACTAAATATCCAACTATTGAGAAGAAGCCTGTTTTCCTTCGCCTAGCATTCAAAGGTGATGAGACATCTGAAAGAATAGACAGAAGAATAAAAGCTGCACTGAGAAGGAGCCTCCCTGCTGACAGACCGATCCCAGTTTATGCAACCAGACTCAATAACATAGTCGAAAGTAGACGAATACCCATCTCACGTCACCAACTGCGTATATCAATTCACCTGTACTTTTGGAAGCAAGTAAATATGACGGACTGAAAGAAGGGTGACTACTCGATTTTATAAGCATATTCCGAGAAACCTGTGTCTGAATGGTAGCAAGGTTTTTAAAAGTGCAATCGTCAAGAGTCTGATGGGAACAAAACACCAAAGAGATGTTTCTCAATCTTTCAGGATAATCAACAAACCATGTTTATTAAGGTTTGCGGGAGCCCTCGCCTTCAAATATTTTCAACCTGACCTATGTACTCAGAGGGTGACTGTAACTAACCTTTTTTTACCGTGGTAAACGGATATAATTTTCTGAATGTGTAAGTTTAGGATTTGTCCTGGTGCGAACTTGACAGACGCAAAGACCAATCACTAATTATTCGAACTTGTTATATACCCACGAATACGAGACCAAGGAAGAACACGATAGCGTAGTCGGATGGAATAGTATATTTGGATGGTTATGCCAAAATACCGATGCGTTCCAACTAACTGGCTAGAGAGTCGAATACGAGCAATGCAACGTAACACGACAGCGTGCCAAATGGCGAGGATGCTTGACCGGGTGCCTTCAGCTTAGCGAGTCCAGTTAAACTATCAAGGTCAGCATCAATGTCGAAGTCGTCAAACCCTAGGCTATTGATTTTGGGGAAGTGTATGACGCTACAGATCACTCCCCCCCTAGTGGGTTCGTGAGGACCCTAAGACGATACCAGCCGGAAGTAAAAACCCAGTGGTTTCTCCACTGGTAAAACTCTTCCGATGGGCTCACTGCGTGAGGTGGCCCCTGGTTGTCTGAACCTTATTCTAGGGTGTCGTGGCGATTAAATAAATAAAATACAATAAATGAAATTGTACGTCGGTCGCGGTCATCTGTTCCTTTCGACGTTCCGTCCAGTGCTCGTTGCACCTGGAATATAAATAAAAGTCTTTAATACCACGAAAACGTTGCGTAAAAATGGGAATTATTTATATATAAACGTGTCGAAAAATAAAAATTTACGCTTATCTTCGCCGTTTTTTTTAGTTTTTATTACATGGTAAATAAAAATTGATATAAAAAGGCAAAGTGTACGAGGGTTTGTGCATTGCCGGTAAATAAGAAAAATAGTGCCTCGAAAAAAAAAAATGGTTGGCACACACACAGCTAAGTTGAATATGACTTCAGGTACTCTGGGAACCTGACGGTTCGACCTGATCGTGTTTTTTGTTGCGCCGATGGTTGTTGCAGCTGTGCATTACCAGGCACATCGTCGAGAATTTCGATAATTGAGTCATCCGTCGGTCGGATGTAGCGAGCTGAAACGTCACTTACAATGGGGTTGCCTTCGAAATAAGCTGGTTTCAAACGGTCGATACTGACAGTATCTTCACGTCCGTCTCGCTCAATTATATAGAATTTCTCATGTCGCTTAATCACTTTGAACGGCCCGTCGTAGGGTGGTTCAAGTGGTCGACGAACAGCGTCGTGGCGAACAAACACGTGTGATGTCTTCTGTAAACTGGGGTGGACGAAAACATCAGTCGTTTGCGGTCTAATCGGAGAAGGCCTAACTGAACGCATTGCGTTTGTAAGCCTAGTCACATAAGATGCCCTGTCGGAAACATGTTTGAAAGTTGAAGGGGAAACAAACTCACCTGGTAGGCGAAGAGTGGTCCCATAGACGAGTTCTGCAGGAGTGCATCCAGCATCAACTTTCAACGCGTTACGAATACCTAGTAGGACTAGAGGCAGAGCCTCGGTCCACTGAGGTATGTTTGTAGCTGAAAGGGAAGCTTTCAGCTGTCGATGGAAACGCTCTACCATGCCATTTGCTTGTGGATGGTAGGCTGTCGTTCGGAACCGAGTGCAACCTAAAAGTGCCGTTAGAGCGTGAAATAATCCCACTCAAATTGGCGCCCACGGTCGGTTGTGACGTAGATGGACATCCGAAGTTCGCGATCCATCTTTCGACGAAAACACGAGCAACTGTTTCGGCAGTAATATCTTTAATGGGTACTGCTTCCGGCCATCGTGTGAAACGATCAACACAAGTGAAAAGGTAGGTACATCCATTAGATTCTGGTAGGGGTCCTACAATATCTATATGGACGTGGTCGAAACGCATGTCTGGGGCTAGAAATGAGCCTAAAGGGCTTTTCGTGTGTCGCGTGACTTTACACTTTTGACAAGCTAAGCACGACTGGGCCCACTCCTTAACGTC